CGTGGCAGCCTGACGGACACGATCTCTGGGAGCCACGGCACAGCTCCACTGGGAGCCACTGGATGACGTCCATGGTCACCTCCTGGGTCTGTTGAGCTGAAGCCCCTCCAGGACCACCACGCGCTCCTGATTTCCCTCCATCACCAGCTGCCAGGATAACGACAGTCACTGGATCACGGGATAACTCCCAGCTCGCCAACAACCCCACTGGGCATGGATTGCTCTGGGCAAAGCTGGTCTCCTGCCTCCATCCACCCTCTATCTGAAGTCTCCATCAGCCCAGGAGAACACGGTGGGGACGCTTCCCATGAAGGCCATACACTTCACTTCCCACAGGAGCTGTTTCTATAGGATCACATTGGGATCATCGGGACAACCCACCCAAGGTTGGGCTGGAGACCATCAAGATCCACCATCGCCCCAGCAATGGGTTCATGGCCCACCCCATTCACTTCCCCCACCACCTCCCTGTGCCAAAAAAAAAACCACCCCGACCACCAAACCCCGTCGGGCTTCTTTTATTTATTTCTTTCTTTTTTTTTATTATTATTTTTTTTTATTATTGACTTTTTTTTTTTTGGAAACATTTTCATCGTTCTCGAATGTTCTACATCTGACAGGAAACATCGGACAGTTACAAACTCTTGGCTGGGATCTGTCAGGGAGATCACAAAACCTGATCTTCAGAACCAAAACCAGAACAGAAAACAAACAGGAAAACAACCCCGAATTCCAGATGGACAAACTGAGACTTGGGGGGGGGGGCCTCTCCAGGGCAGCAGCTCCAGGCCATATTCCCTCCACACCATGGAGGCTTGGAAGACGTGGTTACTCTTGGGTTTAAATTCTTTTTCTTTTGGTATTTTTTTGGAGATTTTTTTTTTGTATTTATTTTTGTTTAAAAGATCCAATAATATTTAAAACCGAGCTGGTCTGGAGGTCAACGTGATTTAAAATTAATTACAAAATGAATGACATAAAAAGAGGGGGAGGAGCCCACGTGGGTTTGCTCCGTGCTCTGGGAATTGGGAGAGCTTGGATGTGATCCTGGATCCCATTGCCTCATTTTCCCTCCCTCACCATGCTTCCCGATGGATCCCGACCCTACAAATCCCTTCCCTTATCCCAAACCCTAGGAAAACTCCCCAGCTCCATCCCTTGCAGGAGGACACAGGGAGGCTGCAGATGGCCTTGTTGCATCAAGATTATTCCCTACAAACAGCCCAACTGAGCGTTTCCAAATGGGAATTGCTGCCCTTAGACCACAGATTTTCCTATTCCTGCTTTGCCAACATTCCCACAAATTACTGGAGAATCTACGAGTGCAACATGCCACAAAAACGCCTTTTCCAAGCCTCCCAAGCTCTATAAAAGGGTTTAATTTCTTTTTTCTTTTTTTCCCTATGGGAATGCCAGCACACAGCAGAGAATATCTGAAAGCTGCTCCTGCCTCAGGAGCTCCTGGCAAAGCCAAGGGAAGATGGGCAGAGGGTCACCACGTTTTGGGAACGACAGTTGGAGGGCCTGAAAATATTGGCAATTAAAAAATAAGCCCAAACTCCCCCAAACCCCCCCTGGATTTATGGGTATCCAGTGGCTCTTATTGCTCTTGTTGGCTGGTTGGATTTTCCTATCAAAAATAAAGCCCCAAATGTGGGTTTTCCACCCCCCTAAAAAAAGCAAGATCGGATTTCACACCCTCCAGCTGGGAACCACGTCATCCCAAATTCCCTGGGGGAATGCAGGGCATGGCAAACAGGGTGGGAGGGGGCTCTGGAAAGGACCATATTCCGGTGGCTGTGGGAAAACCTGATCCTCTGAACATCCACCATTAAAGCAAACCCCTTAAATTTTAACACTTCAAGGAACTGCAAAAACTGGGTTATTCATTATCCATAAAATCCAGGAGCAAATCCTTGCCTGGAGGGCTCAGCCACTTGGAGGCGTGAAGGGTTTGGGCTCCAAGGGGGGGAGGGGTCACCACCAGGACTGATATTCCTATTTTTCCCCCCAAATCTCACACTAGAGCTGGTGTTTTAAAGCCAAGATAAAGGCAGGGATGGGTTAATGGTGGGAACAGCGGGTTGGGAGTTATTTTCCCTCCTCTTTAGCTGGAATTTTAATCTCAGACACTTCCCTGGATGGTTTAACCCCTCCTGCTCTTCCCCACTAATCCCGGGGCGATGGAAAACCCTTTTCCATAATCAACATCAGCAAAGCTGAAATATTTGGGAAGCTGGTGGCCCCCCAGCACTGTCCCCACCCAAGGGAGGCTGTGACCTCCCCAGGACCTTCCCTCAAGCCATGGAGAGGAGGAGCCCAAGGAGAGGACTTGGGATCAAGGGAAGGGCAGGAGCGTCTCCCCACCAGCACAGCCCCACAGAGCCGCCTCGGGAAGGAGCTTCCCAAGCCTGGCACTGTGTGGAGGCCCCAGAGCCAAGTGGTGGCCCCAGAGCCATGTGGTGGCCCTGGAGCCACGTGGTGGCCCAAGTCTAACCCAGCCCTGGGTACCAAAGGTCCTCAGTGAAGCCTCTGGCCCAAGAGGTGCCAAATATTTCCCCTCTCCACACTTGGCTGAGTTAATGAGGATTTCTGCCTGGGAATAACAGGGTGAGGAGCTGCTCTTGATCTCCTCAAAGGGGTTCAAACCCAACTGCCCATCTGAGTGGGAACACTGGGTGACCCTCCGTGTTCAACTCCTGGAGCTTCCTCCCCACTTCTAGTGTTCTTTCCTTTCAGGAGAAAGCCCAACAACTCCTTCCCAGCCATGGACCAAAATTTTAGGGGTTGTCCCTAAAGTCCTGAAGGGTGTCTGGGATAGTGGGAGGGTGGTGCCTGCTGGGAAGGGTCCTCTGCACAGCCTGGGCTCTGATCACAAAGCTTGTTGGACCCTTTTCTCCTTCTCCTTTCCTTCCCGAAGTGCAGCCCAAGGGTGCACTTTCCCCAGCCCACAGGGATGTCCCCTCGAGCTTGGGGAGGTCAACCAGAGCTTTGCTCTGGATTTCCATTAAAAATCCAGCAGCACTTCCATTAAAAACCAGCAGAACCAACCAAACAACCCCCCACAGAGGTGCTGCTGCCAACACCCAACCCGACAGAGCAAACAGTGGCCGGAAAAGTCCTCCTGGATCCCTAAGCTTCTTCCTCCCCATCTGGTTCACACTCAAGGAGCTCCAGGAGCTCCTCCCAGTGGCAGCAGAAGCCAAGATGAGAGACACCACCCAAAGCAACAAGAACAGGTCACCTTCTCTTCCAAAAAGCTCTCCAGCCTGACCTCTACACCTCCACGGAGGGTACAGGTGAGCCTCCAGAGCCCTCAGGTCCATCAGGAGACGTGATCCAGGCACGACCAAAGCGGAGCACCCAACACTGACAACACCACACACGGGTCAGAAACCCAAGGCAGGCAGTGCCCTGAGGGATTCCCATCCCCAGCTCCAAACCTGACCTCTCCAAAGGCTCTGGATTTGACAGCCTCAAAGCCCAAGGAGCAGGAGAGTTGCCAACAGGGAACACTTTTGGCACGTTGAGGGAAAAACCAAAACCCAACCAAGTGTTTCGCCTTGGAAAAGAGAAATAAATAAGCAAAGCCTCGTTTCTAAACTGGGTTTAGTGAGAAGGGTTTAAAAATAAACTGGCCACAAGTTGCCTGCAAACACAAACTCCCTCTGCTGCTCTCGAGACAATGTATTGCTCTACTGGGACACCCCAAGGTGGGACATCTTCGTGTCCTTGTGTCCCTGGCTGAGCCAAACCCCCCAAAATCCCCCTGGTGCCCACAGCCTGGTGTGACCACCGTCCCCCACCCTGCCCCATGTCACCTGGGGATCCCTTCCCTGCTCCCACCTTTGCTTCCCGGGAGGAAGGCGACGTGTTTATTGCTATTGCTTCCTCTCCTCCCACATCTCCCCTGGCAGAGCAGCCAGAATTCCCACCCCTTCCGGCCCTTCTCCACGGTGCTGGTGTTTGTGCTTGGATGGACATTTCTCCTGGAAGTCTCAGAGCCCAAGGAATGGGTGGGGGCACCTCAACCCTCAAGTTTGGTCTCAGCCCTGCCAGTGACACGGGTGGAGGGTGAAGCCACCCACCTTCCCCTCACCCTGCCTTGAAGACTCGTCTCCATCAACCAGACGCCCTTTTCCCACACCACCATGCTCTGGAGAAGCTCTTCAGACCAACTCCTGGATCTAGACAAGCTCTTTAGACCAACCTTGGACCTGGACAAGCTCTTCAGAACAAACACTGTACTCAGAGAAGCTCTTCAGGCCAACCTTGGATCTAGAGAAGCTCTTCAGACCAACCCCTGAACTCAGAGCTCTCCAGACCAACCTTGGATTTGGAAAAGCTCTTCAGACCATATCCTGAGCTCTTCAGACCAACCTTGGATCTGAAGAAGCCCTTCAGACCAACCTTTGGACCTGGAGAAGCTCTTCAGACCAACCCTGGGCCATCTCCTTGCCTCCTTCCCCACCTCTCCCCTTCTCCCTCCCGCAGCCCCAGGACGTGGCTGACAGGGAGCACCTCATTTTCCCAAGCTGCTCCCAGGGCACGTGTCCCTTTCCATCAGCCACCATCCATTTTCCCAGTTGGAAGAGCAGCCCAAGGCCCCCGCCGGTGACCAGTCCTCGCCCTCCCTACGACAAAAGCGCTACCCACATTTATATCCTCTTACTCCTAACAAAAAGAAAGGATGAGTTCAGAATTCCACTGCAGATTTCGAACCTACCACGACAGCTATTCTGGAAGACACCAATTTTGCTCGGAATACGTGACGGAAGATTGAATAATTGATCATCTCAGACTAAAAAAAACCAAAAAACTGGGAACAAACCTGCCTGTCTAAAGAAAAACCAGCGCTGTGCTTTTCACAGTCCCCCGAACATCAACCACGCTGCAAATCTAGGCTCGGGCAACGACGACGACGACAGAAGGAGAACCCAAAAGAACACGAAGTGGGGGGATCTTTGCACCACTCAGCTGGCAAAGTGAAGATTCTGAGCTTTCCAAGGACCAAAGAGAGAGAACTTTACTATTGCTCGGTGTCAGTCATGTGTGTTACACGATTTATGTGGGAGGGGGACGGGAGGGGAAAATCAAAGAGAGGCAGAAGATTAGAAAAAGCAGCTTTTACAAAAACCACTAAAGGATGCATAAAGTGACCCTTGCACTCGGTTTGTTGAGTTTTGTTCTTGCAAACAGACGAGGTGCTGCGGCCCAGAGGCCGGGGCACCGATGTAAGACTTGTGGAGTTGCATACAATGTTTGATTCCGGATCTGGGAAAGAGAAAACACCCAAAAACAGGGAGTTAGAAGCAAGTTCTGGAAGATCAGGGCTGTTCTCTGCACTCCTGCACCACGTAGAGACAGTCCATATGGAATTTAACCATCCCTGAGGACAATTCCTTGAGCTCAGTGGTGGGATCCAATGCCAAGGATATGAAGATGGGATGCTCCCTGCTAATTGCCCACCAAGGAGAGATTTGGGATAAGCTCAGGGCTGGGTGGGATCTCCGCTGACTCCCAGTGTTCCCATCAACTGCGTTAATTGGACACCATGAACGAGGAACAAGCAGCTGGGATTTCTGGGATCCTGGGCATGACAGGGATATGCAGTAACCCTGGGATTTCTGGGATCCTGGGCATCACAGGGATGTGCAGTAACTCTGGGATTTCTGGGATCCTGGGCATCACAGGGATGTGCAGTAACCCTGGGATTTCTGGGATCCTGGATATGACAGGGATGTGCAGTAACCCTGGGATTTCTGGGATCCTGGGCATCACAGGGATGTGCAGTAACCCTGGGATTTCTGGGATCCTGGGCATGACAGGGATGTTCAGTAACCCTGGGATTTCTGGGATCCTGGGCACCACAGGGATGTGCAGTAACCCTGGGATTTCTGGGATCCTGGGCATGACAGGGATGTTCAGTAACCCTGGGATTTCTGGGATCCTGGGCACAACAGGGATGTGCAGTAACCCTGGGATTTCTGGGATCCTGGGCACCACAGGGATGTTCAGTAACCCTGGGATTTCTGGGATCCTGGGCATGACAGGGATGTTCAGTAACCCTGGGATTTCTGGGATCCTGGGCACAACAGGGATGTGCAGTAACCCTGGGATTTCTGGGATCCTGGGCACCACAGGGATGTGTAGGAACCCTGGGATTTCTGGGATCCTGGGCACCACAGGGATGTGCAGCAACTCTGGTGCTCATGGACAGGACGATCTCCCAGATCATCAAGGGAGATCCACTTTTAATAGAGAAAAAACCCCATATCCCAGTGATGGGAGGGACTCTGGATAAGGGAATGCAGCGATAGGACAAGGGGGAATGTTTTTAAGTTGCCAGAGGGGATACTGGGAAGAAATTCCTCCCTGTGAGGGTGGGGAGGCCCTGGCACAGGTTGCCCAGAGAAGCCGTGGCTGCCCCATCCCTGGGAGTGTCCAAGGCCAGGCTGGCTGAGGTTTGGAGGTTAATTTATGCCCAAGGGCAGAGCAGAGGGATCACTCACATGGATTGGCCAGTGGATTACCAGTGTGGAGGTACGTAGCTGTAGGTGGGGGTTCCTTGAGCCCTGTACGTTGGCACGGACACGGGATGTGCTCCAATGGCGGTGTGTTGGGGGGTGGTCAACAAGGTTCCTGCAAGGGAAACACGGATCAAGGAGAGCTCCCTCAGGGAAGTGGTGCCCATCCCAGGGGCAGGAACAGCACCAGCTGCCTCCTTTTAGCTTTTCCATCATCCCAAATATTTTTCTGCCCGTGAGACCTCACTGGAAGGTGTTGGCACTTGTGGTTGGGATCAACCAGTGCCACGAGTGGAATAAACACACCTGAAGCTCCAGGGTGTTTTCCATGGTACTTTTGGTCATCTCCTTGTCTTTTTAAGGGTTTTCCATGTTGTTTTGTTTTTTTCAATTTTCCTTGTCCCTAAAGACCAGCCCAGCTGACCTGCTGACATCGTTTACCCGCTGAAGGCACTGGGCTAAACTACAACAGGAGATCTGAAACACCCAAGGATCAAACTCAAAGGGAGAAGGGATGCAAAGGGAGGTGAGAAAAAAACCCCAAGAGCTCTTCCAGGGAAACTTGGGAAGAGCTTTGCCACTCATCTCCCAGGAGTTCTTTTGCTTCCTTTAAACCCCCAGAGCCTTGGGATGCAGCAGGATTGATCCTCTCCCAGCCATGAAGGCACTGCCTGGTGTAACCTCTTTTTTCAGCCAGAGGAATTTTAAGCTGGAATTTGCACAGTGCCTACATGGGAAGGGAGAACAGCCCTGGACTGCTCCGTTCCCAGAGCAACTGGGTGCTCAAACCAAATTCCTGGTTTCTGGGTATCTCTCTACAAATTAATGGAAATCTAACACATCCCACATGCATTAATTAATCCACTTCTCAGAGTAAGCGACAGTAAATATCTCCAAGTGGTTCCTGTCACACCCCTGCCTGCTTGGAACAGGGCTTGCATCCCATAATAGGGCCCTATTTCCCAGCCAGTGCAGATGTAAAAGGATGAATGATGCATTTCTTGGCATAATTCAATATACAATAAGAATTGTTAATGAGAGAAATACAGGCTTTGGAAACAAATAAACCCAGCCCACCACGTGCCAGCAATCCAAGGAATCCTGCACATAAAATGTGGAGGAATTGGGAGAGAGAAACCAAGGATAATGTTGAACAAAAACAAGGCCATAAGAGCCCTAAAAAAAGGGAACTTGAGGAGAGAAATCCAACTGTTTGGAGCGGACAAGCCTGGGGATTCCCGTACTTATGGGACAGTCAGAGGAAAGAATTTAAGGCTGGGAATTTTTCATCTGGGATAAGTCTCCTGCACGGGCTGCCTGGATACATCCCACCGGGAGATGGAAGTGCGGAGCGTGGAAAGACTTCCCTGCTTACCTGCTGACATGGCCATGGTGGTCCCGGCGACCATTCCCATGGCCACTCCGTTGGTCCTGGGCGCGGCCACCGGAGCGGGATAGATGGCCGACGGGATACTGTTGGGCTGGACCACGGTGGTGTGATGGATGACGTGGGGCTGCGCCGCGTACACCGGCTGGGTGTAATAAGCTCCCTGGTGGAGAAGGAGGGGAAAAAACCCACCGTCATTCCATGTTTTTACAGAGCCTTCCCAACCTAAACGATCCCAGGATTCAAGCGCTGCCAAAGGGCTGGTGTTTCCCGGGGTGTCTCTCCCGTGACTTGGGAGACCTGGGCAAGGAATGGTGAAGCTGACCCTGTGGATGTGTGGGATGGATGGAGGCAACAGGACTGAGGGGGGATCAGCATCACGGATCAAGGAGTCAATCCACTGGGGACAAACCACCATTTGGTGGGATGAAACAGGGCCTGGACACCAAGACTTTGGCTGCTGGTGTGGAAAAGGAACAAGAGATGGAAGAAAAGGACAAGTGGCTCTTGGATGATCCTGAGATGCTTGTTTGGGATGTGTATCATCTCCTTGGGTTTCCAACAGGGCCCCAAAATCCAGGCTACCCAGACTCAGAGACTCTGGAAACAAGGGAATAAAAGGAGCCAACAGAAAAAGCTCCACACCCAAAACAGTGAAGGGCCTGAAACATGAGGGACAGAAAGGCCATCCCCAGGACAGGCAGCTCCAGCACTGCTGGAGAAGTTGATCTTTGGACATGAAAGAGGAGAGGAAAAGCCAGGGAAGCTGAAGGGCCAGATGGCTCTGGGAAGCTCATGATCTTCAGTGGGAATGGGAATTAAGGTGGTTTTTGGAGGACATCTGGCCTGAACTGCATCCCTGCAGAGGCTCTTGGCCCCAGCACATGGCTGGAGGTGGTGGCCGTGCAGCAGCAGGGAAGGTGGGCCTGGAAATCCCATCCAGGTGCTGAGGGAAGAGCTGCTCCGGGAGGACACGAATCCGGGTCGTGGCTGGTGCTGGTGAAGGGGACACAGGGGAGGTGGCAGGAGGGTGATGCCAATGACCAGCAGCAAAGGGACCTTGGGGTGACCCGGACTCACCCAGGGCCTTGGGGAAGAGCAGCATTTGAGAGCTGGGCTGGGTGGGGAGAGCCGGGTGCAGGGATCATCCAGGACTATCCCTGGCAGCCAGTGTGATTCAAGAAGAAAGGTCCCAATTCCCAGCGGGGCTGATCCATGGGGATGTACCCTGACATCCAACAGAGGAGGCAGGAGAGACACCCCACCATCCCGAGGCCCCACTACGAGCTTCTCCATCCCGCACGGGCGTGGGGGCTCAGCCCTGGGAGCCGAGGAGATTCCCACAGGGAGCTTGGAGCTGCGTTGGGATGTGGTGGGGAGGCCCCACCCCCCGGGAGGCCCCACCTACCTGTGTGTACAGGTTCTGCTGGGGGTAGGCACTTCGGATGGGGTACATGGCAGTCTGGTACGGGTTGGGAGACGGCGAGTAGGGAGGAGGAGCGTTGTTACTCTGGGTCGGTGGCACCTTGTAGGGAGTCCCTGCGGTGTATCCTGGAAAAGACAGGAGTAATCCCGGCTTTAGGCTTGGATTTGCAGCGGCAGAGCTAGGCCACATGCACGTGAGGAGCTCGGGGTGCTGGTCATGGAGCACTGGCTGCTCCCTGGGCATGGAGGGACACATCAGCATCTACTGATATCCCATGGAGAAGGATTTGCCCAAAGGAGAGGCTGCTCCACCCCTGGAAGTGTCCAAGGCCAGGCTGGACAGGGCTTGGAGCAACCTGGAATAGCAGAAGGTGTCCCTGCCCATCACCAGGGTTTGGAACAAATCCCTTCAAGATCCCACACCATTCCAGGATTCCAGGATTCTGTGACACCCACCAGGGGAAAATGATGTGTGCCTTGAAATATTTCATCCCTTGAAGGCTCTGTGATCCTCACAGGGCAGATTGGAATTGTTCTCTTTCTTCTGCTTGGATTTAAGGAAAAGGAAATGCATCCCCTGGTCTTGCCCATTATCCGGAGCATCCAAGTCCCACACTGAGACTTTATCAAAGGCCTAAACAAACTTAAACTCATTTTGCAGCATTTAGGAGAGGCTGAGTACGTGGGGAATACTCTAAAATGAAGGATCCTGGCAGGGAAGTACCATAAAACCTCATGGAAGGTGCAACATCTAAAGGAGGTGTGACCTGCCCTGAGGATGGGATGTCACAGCACCTGAATTCCCAACCTTTAGAGGCTCCATTAATTAAACATTATTGCTTAACTGCTAAATGGGGAAAAACCCTCAAGAATACTTCCAAGCTGTGCTTTTTTTTAGATAAATTAAAAAAAATTAAAGCCTTCAGCCTCTTGTTTTTCCATCTAGTGGATTTTTTTTTTCAATTCTGGATTTGTTTTCTCCAAAAAAGATCTTGGGAGCTACCAGTCCTCAGCACCTGAGGGGTGCCTGGAGATGGGGACAACAATGAGCCTTTAAGCTCCAGTTTCTGTTAAAATTGCTGATTTCACCAAACAAGATCTAATTTTTTACTAATTACAAGCTGGGATTTTTCCAAATATTCACAACTTGGTCAAATTTGGCCTGGTGTGAATTTAGGCACCATGTCCCAGGTCCCCAAAGAATTGTAGGGACATCCCTTTTCCAAGAGAAAGCCTCCCAAAGGCTTTTAAAAGGTTCTGCCTTATCAGGAAGCTTATCAGCCCTCCCAGAGGAAATGTTTGTCCTCCTCAGGGATGAGATTCCAAGGCTCCACCTGGAAAAGCCTGTTTGACAGTGATCCCTGAACAGCATCTCCTCCCCCTGCTCAGCCAGAATTTCAGCCCTGTCCCTTGAAAATCAGGCTTTAGTTTGGAATTCTTTCCATTTAAAGGGAGTAGGAAATAATGTCCCTTTGGAGATAAACACCAGGTCGCTCCTGGGGACCAAAGAGTTGAGGGAGAGGTTTCACCTTCTCCACTTCCAGGAGAATTCCTCCTCTGGAGGAGCAGCAGGAGGGTCAGTGCTCCCCTTTCTCATGGCTTTAACACATCCATCAAGTCCAGGATGGACCAGGCTTGGAGCAACCTGGGCTAGTGGAAGGTGCCCGAGACAGGAAGGTTGGAAGGAGATGGTCTTTAAGATCCCTCCCAACCCAAATACGATCCCAAATGACCCCATTTCTAAATAAACACCCAAAAGGGGCCCAGATCAGGCAATCAAACCCCAGAAAGGAAAGGTGTCTTTACTGAAAGCTGCAGAAGAGGCCTGGTAGGTTCTGTTCTCGGTGCCGGTGTCCACCGGGAGGTGGAAGGTGCCCTCGGTGGCACAGGACGAGGAGGTCTGAGGCCAGGCTTGCTTCATCAGGAGGGTGGCTTGGGTGGAGGCAGAGAAGAGGAGTCACACACAGCAGTGGAGAGACAATTCCCACATTTATGGAATCATTTTGCTGCTCTTTCCCTTCCACTCCCACCTATTACGGACAACAACTGAGCTGAGGGACCTGCAGATCTGTGTCCACCATCCCTCCCCAGATGTCCCCTCTGTCCCTCCAAACCAGCAAGGGCTGCCCTCGGCCTTGTGATTCCCAGCAGGAAAACGGGCTGAGCCTCGGGCGCGAGGCATTTTATTCCCAGGAAAACCCTTGGAGGCACCACCACTGGTTGCTGTGACCGTCCTGTCCCAGTGTTGGGTGGTCCTCAGGAACTCTGGGAAGGCCAGCAGTGGCTTTGGGCAGGTCTCCCTGTGTCCCAGTTTGCGGAAGAGTATTTATGGTGCCAAGGAAAAGAATCCAGAAGAATCTCAAGAGCCAAACCTTGTGGGATTTGAGGAGGGACCAACAGAATGCAGGCAGGACAAAGCTTGGAGCAACCTGGTCTAGTGGAAGGTGTCCCTGCCCATGGCAGGGGGTGGAAAGAGATGATTTGGAAGGTCCTTTCCAACCCAAGCCAGTCTGGGATTCTGTGAAACCAGGAGGTTTGTGGGAAGTGAGAGATCCAAGCCCAGTTTCTCTTCCACTCAGGCACTGATCACTTCCTGCTCCAGCCTCACCCTCTCCCAAAGCTTTGGGAGTGATGAAGGATTTCCAAGCTGCCTGGTTTATTTTCCATGGCACACTGCACTCAGCAACATCCCACTGGAGACCCAACTCCAGCCCTGGGACAGAAACACTCCTTCCCTTCTGCTTTTATTCAGGATCAGATTCTTTTTTGCCTCTGGATTTCCCAGAGGTTTTTTAATCTCCGAGACTGACACAATTTATTTGCACTCAGTCCTTCCTCTGAGGTTTTCCCTCTCCACATCAAACCCATCACAAAATCCAGGTAATTTGGGGTGGAGATTCCCACGTTCTGGACATTAAATCATGGATTCTTGGAGAATCCATCACTTAAAGCTACACAGAAGGCGAACCAAGGAGGTTTCCAGAACATTAATATCTCCTGGTCCTTTGAAGAGCTGCAACTCTCAGGGGTCACAAGCCAGCTATGATTATTTAATATCACTTTAAGGGCCACCTCCAACCAGTGTCTTCTGGATTTGGTTTTGCCTCCCACCTTAAAATAAATAAAATCAAGAGCTTTTATTCCTTATCTGTTTAATCCATGTGGGAACTGAGCAAACAATGTGAGCTCTGGGTCCCTGCAGAGGACCCTTAGTCATACTGAAATGGGAAAAGAAAATCTATGAACCCTTCCAACCTAACCCATTCCAGGATTTCAGAGCCTCCATCCCGTCCCACAATTCCTGATTTTGGAATACTCTTGTTCTGCAATGCAAGGGCATTGCTGTAAACCGTCCTTCTCCCCTGCATTATTAATAAGTGCAACTAAAGGCTCCAGGAGGAAAGTGTGTGTCCTACTTTCAGGAAAATAAAAAGAGAAGCCTTGATGAAGGGAGTTAAACCACAACAACCACTGTGGGAAGGCAGAAAGCCTGGGAGGGAACAGGCAGCTTAATGAAGACATATATTATTTTATTTTTATTGTGTCTCTGCAGCAGTGATTTGAGATGCTCGTTTTTACCAACTTAAAAGGCCTTTTTTTGGAAGAACAGTATCCTAAAAAAATCCTAAATAAATGCTGGTTTATTGCAACCAGCAGAGTTTGCAATGCTGGGGGTGTGCCTTGTGTCTCTCCCTCTAAAAACTGTGGAAAAAAGCAACAGGAAAATCACACAAGGCAGGAACCTGAATTGGAATTCGTAGAATCCCAGAATATCCTGAGCTGGAAGGGACCCACACGGATCATGGAGTCCAACTCATCCTTTTCCTTGGGAAAGGCTCTTTTGGAATAAACTGGTGAGGAATTTATCCTGTTCTGGGGCTCAAATATCAGCAAAAATCCACCAGAAACCTGACACTGGGAGAGGGAAGGGATCAGAGCTGGCTCCAGGTCCCTATTCCTACAGTGCCAATCCCAAGAAGAGTCATAGGATCCTACAATGGTTTGGGCTGGGAGGGATCTTAAGGATCATCCAGTTCCAACCCTGTGCCGTGGCGAGGAACACCTTCCACTCCAAGCTCCAGGCCAACATTCCAGAACGCTGCAGGATTTACATCCCTGGCTGAGCAGGGAGGACGTTGCCAGGCTCTGGCAGGACAAGCTACTAATAAATTTATGGGCTTTTTCTTAGTCTGTGGAGCTCTTTTCCCTTTATTCTTCCAGTGGTTTATCCTCCGGGGGAATTTCAGGGTGGCCAGCGCAGGGACAAAACTCATTTCTGAAGGTTTTTAGTGGGAAGAAATGCAGCTAAAGACCTTCCCAGAAGCACACCAACCCAAATAAAACCCAACAGATCCCTGGGAATACCAGGGGAAAATGAGATTTTATGGGGAAGAAAGCATCTGGTGCTGCCAAAGGGGAAGAAGAATTCCCAGATTTGGCCCAAGTTTGTGAAGGACAGGAGGAGACACGGGGACAGACTCTGGCAGTGCCACGGGAAAGACACGGCATGGGAGATCCAGACCCCAAACAGGACACAGCTCCTGATATTCCTGCAGCTGTGGCATGGAAGGAGAGCAGGACACACATAGAGAAGGGAATCAGTGCCATCAATCTGCTGATATCCCAGTGCTGAGGGCTGCAAAATTCCTGGGATTCGTATCAAGATATAATTCCTGGCTCCAAAGTGCTTTGCAACACAGACAAATATTCCCAAAGGAAGGTGTGAAGGGAAGACCAAAGGAAGGGAAGACCCCCAACAAAGGCTTCTTCCCAGGAAGCGATTGGCTGACAAGCACACGGAAACTGCTGGAATTCCCTCCTCCACAGAGGGGTTTTACCTGGAGCGTAGCCGGGGCTGCTGGTCGGGTACATGTTGGGGTTGTAGGCCGGGGCAGCCGTGGGATATCCCGTAGGATAACCTGGAATGAGACCAAACAAATCAGGATTTTTATCAACAGGCAGCCAGGATAACACCCCTGGAAAGTAACAAACATGCGTGAGCAGAGAGGGAACGGGCACAGTTGGGAGGGAAAACACGGCTGTATTCCCAGCATGTAGGAAAAACTGGGAATGTCCATGTGACATCATCAATATTTCATCCTTATTCCTGTAGAAAATGAGGGCAATGACCAGAATGCAGAAAACAGGGATGTGCACTGGGCTTGGAAGAAAAGCACTGAGGAAACACATGCTCTGAATGTTGAATTCAACCATGGAAAACCAGCTTGGAAAGGTTTTCCTTGGCTGCACGGCAGCATTGGCAGAGCTCAGCACCCAGCCCAGCGCTCAGCGCTCCCATTATCCAGAGTTTCCTGCTGAAGGGATGCTGTAGGAAAACATGCCAGGCTTGTTTTCACTCCTGGCTGCACAAGTGCCATCCCGGGAGGGCCCCGATTCCCTGCCAGGCCACCTGGAAGGAACGCGCGCGGCAGCTCCGACCCCTCGGAGCTGCAGGAGGGGATTTAATGGGCTCTTTGGAAAAGGCTTCAGTTTTCATCAGCTTCACTTGGATGGGTCATGGAGAGTTCAGGGAGAATCACCTGAGCAGGGTTGGACAGACTCTGAGTGCCCCACACCCAGTGCAGGTGTCTGATCCAACTCTCACTCCACGGAAGTTCTTGTTCTCTGTGGATTCCACAGACAAAAACCTCCCCACCTTAGGCTGCTCCATTTTCAGAAAATCATGGAATACCCTGAGTGGGAAGGGACCCACAAGGATCATCCAGTCCATCTCTAGGACACCCCAGCAATCCCCCCCTGTCCCTGAGGGTGTTGTCCAAGGGCTCCTTGAGCTCCGGCAGGTTTGGAATTGCCCAACCTGGGGAGCCTGTTCCGTGCCCAACCACCCTCCGGGGGAAGAACCTTTCCCTGAGATCCAACCTGACCCTCCCCTGGCACAGCTCCAGGCATCCCTTCAGATCCCATCCCTTGTCATCATTCTGCTTTGGTTTCCTTCCATTTCTTGGAAGTCTTCCCCCTGGAAACAGCAACACCTGGATAACTCCATCCCTTCTCACGTGCTCCTGCACAAATCCCTTGGACAGACCGAGCAGGACACATTAATCCTCCTTTTCTGGTGGAGAATTTGGCTTTGCTGACCTTGCCACCACGGTTTGTCCCCTTGGACATCATCCCAGAGCAGAACCAACCCAAGGGTGACAAAGTGACCCTTGGAGAGGCTTCCTTCCCTCAGACACTGCCAAAAAAGGCTGGAAAGATTTAATTAGCAGTCAATTCATACTCCTCTTTTTTTAATATTTTAGAACATTAAAATATTAAAAATATACCAGGTCTGGCCTCCCCCTTTCCGAGCGTCCACACAATGCCATTGGAATCTCTCCCTCCACGCCCCAAATCTCTTCCACCACGTGCCAATTCCTAAACCCCGTGGCCAAATTCTGAGGTTCACTGGAATAAATCTCAATCACCACTCGTGGCCACTGTAGTGGAATAAATGACTGTGTGTTCTACCCTCTCATTTTCATCAGGGATATGTTTGGCTTCTAAATCAGGTTAATTAAAAATTGCTGGAGTTAATGTTGGCTAAGCAGCAGTTTAACAGTTTTTTTTTAGGCATGAAACTCCGTTGTTGTCGTACTCAGGAATATCTGAAGCCTTTCAGCAATCAAGGAGCTCCTCAGAAGGTTATTTGCAGCCCCAGTGATTGCAGGTGGAACATTAATGATGATCCTCAATCACAAATATCCTGCTCACCCTCCACTTCATTAGAAGAGAATAATTTCTTCTCCAGGACATTCATCATTCCACAGTCTTCCCATTTCCCCCACGATCCCACTTTCCACCCTGACCTGCCTGGCCAGGAGTGTTAAACCAACTCCACTTCACTCCAAGGGTATTTTCCCTAAAATTCTCCCAGCTTGACACACAGTCCAGTAGAATCCCAGGATGGTTTGGGTGGGAAGGGACCTTAAAGACCCCCTAATTCCATGGGCACAGGTGGTGACGGCTGTCCATGTACCCTGCTCTTCCATGAGGGATGGGATCCAGGTGACAAAACTCATGGAGCACCAAGAGGTTCTCCTGATCTTTGCAGCTGGATAATCCCCCCAGACAAGTCCTGAATCCCCTAATCTTTAATAACAGTCCTTAACTGAGTCTGAACCAAGACAAACATAGTCCTGGATGGCCACGAGTTCCATCTGAGGCACCACCAGCACCTGCTGGCAAATCCAGCAAAAAAACACCTCTAAGAGCCACCTCTAAAAAAAACACCTCTAAACCCAGCTCAAAAAACCACCCCCGAAATTTCCAATACTGGGGGGTTTTAGAAAAATCAGCTTGAAATAAATCCAACCACTCTCAGACCGCAGGAAAACTGTGGCTTTGGGAAAGGTTTTCCAGCCAGACACCTATTGAGACTCCAGGGTTATTGTGGGCAGGTGGAGACAAATGTGTATTCATGGAATTATGGGATCATTGAGGTTGGAAAAGACCTTTAAGGCCATCGAGTCCAACCCAGCACTGCCAAGGCCACCGTGTCCCCAAATGCCACATCCACACCTATTTTAATTGGGACTCAATCACTGGTCCTTCTCCTTTTTTGGGGGGTTAAAGGGCAAAGAGAGATGGGGTTTGTTTCTTGGCTCTTCTTCATCCCTCAAATAACCCCAAACAAGCCTCCTCATGGAAGCAAAAGCTGTAGTCCCTCAGGATGATCCACATTCCATGGGTGTCTGGATCCAAGAATCAGGAATGGGCTCAGGAGTGTCTGATTTTCCCCCTGGAAACCCCAGTTCCTCAGACAGGCCCTGCTCCCTTCCTGCCACATCTTGTCACCTTGAATCAGAAATAACAAGCCAGAGGATCAAACCCCCTTGACGTGAAAATATCAGGGACAGAAGGAAAACATCCTTTCCTTTCTCCTTGTATGGATTTGCCCCTGAAGGGCCCCTGGCTCTGCTGGGCCTTGTGATGATGCAGAAACAGAAAATGAGGTGAAAACACATCGAACAAAATTGATGAGACTCCTCGCCCAAGAAATCAAAAGTTGTTCTCTGCCTTTATTTTAATTTAATATCATCTCCACAATCAATAGGAGCAAGGAAGCCAGTGTTCATTTGATGTTCTCCCCAGGGAAAACACACAGCTCTGGGAAGAGCTGCTGCAAAAACTCCAACAAACAACCAGGAGCACGTGGGGCTGCAGCAAGGAGGTGTTTTAGAGCTACCTTTAATTTTTCATGTATATTTTTCAGATTTCTGGGCTGTTCTCTCCAGCTCTGCTCACCCCTTTCCTTCTTGGTGTGATGCTGCTTTGGATTAATGGCTTTTAGGCTCCCTCTTTTTAGAAGATGAATTGTAAAGGGGTTCAGGAAGTAGATTTTAAAAGAGAGGTTTAAGTGCCTTTGGGGTCAGATCAGGGGTGGAATCCCCATCCCTGAAAGTGTTCAAAATCCCTGCGGATGTGGCACTTGGGGGACATAGGTCAGTGGTGGCCTTGGCAGTGCTGGGGGAGTGACTGGATTCAATGATCCTAGAGGACTTTTCCAACCCAAATAATTCCCTTATTCTGTTTTACTAATTCTCCCCTAAACCTCTGCAAACCAATTTGTTTCTGCTGAGCTTCGAAGCTGCAACAGCCCCAGGAAGATTTTGCCTCAGCCAGATGAAGCCAAAGTATTTTCCCCTGCCAAACACCCTCATGTTCTATTTTAAGCTCATCCACCTCATTCTTTATTGCCCACACCTCAGAAACTCTTCAAAAATAGGATCTATGAGCATCTTCTGAGGGTAAAAACACGAGCAACCTCACGTCTTCAGCTCCGTGCTGCTGGAAATCTGCTCCCTTCAGCCCCAGTGGGAATTTATTCCTGCCCAAAGTCACGTGTTGTGACATGAAAAGTGCAAGTTTGGTACTTGAGAAATTACCCCAGAAGTGAGAAATTGGAGAGCAGACACCACGTGGGCTTCCTGGTACAGCTCCAGCAGAGCCAGACTGGCAGCAACGCTCCCGAACGTCGGTTGCTGGGAGAGGTGACTCCGGAAAAATATGGGATGGATGGGGGACACGGGGCAAACAGCTGAGGAGGACATCTGGGAGCTGATCCTGTGTGAGAAACCGGCCTCCAGAGGTGAAGAGCTGCAGCATTTTGGAAATGACTTGTGGCAGAGGTGTCAACAAACCTCCTTATCCCATCCGGAGCCTTTCTCCTCACGCCCCGAGCTCTGGGATTAGGCCATGCATCTCCTCCTGCCTTTTGGGGAGTTGTCCCCAAGGAACATCCCTCAATATCACTGAACAGCTTCTTACCCAGGGCACTTCCTAGACCTTTCCTGCTCTGTGGGAACTCCGGAAAACATCTCCCTCTGAACCCAAAAGGAATTGCTCTGGATTTATCCCCCCTCAGTTAGGAGTGCAGCTGCTCTGTCGCCCACCTGACACACACCAGGAGTTCCTGCCCCATCACTTGTCCACCCCCTCACACAAACACCACCCACCACCATCAGGCTGCTGTTTTAGGGGTCCCCCTGCCCTGGTGGACACAGGGCTGCCCCAAGGGCAACTTTTCCATGGCCCAGCTCTTAATTCACCAGCCAGAGCCCTTTGTCATGAGTGACTGACACCCCAAGGGCTCTGAGGATGGGACAGGTGTGATGAAATGACTGCACAGCTCATTGTCAGGGTGTTTGGAGATGTTCCTGTCCTGCCAGAACTCGGGTCCAACTGGGTGCCAAACCATCCCAACACATCTCATCCCTTAACTTCATTTATCCCAACACAACTTCAGCCTTGGGCATTTTCAATCTTTTGTACTGAAAGGCCTTCTGGAGCTCAAAATGTACATTCCCCAAGTCACTGTGTTTTCCAAACCAAATTTAAGTCTAGGAAGAGTCTCCAACTCAGGAGGGCAGAGCTGAAACCCTCCTGGACTGACCCTGGTTTGTTTTATGCTTAACAC